CTCAAAATGCATTCATAATACAAACACTAACAAGTAAGTCATTATTAAGTCATAAAAATCATGAAATTGGCTTTAATTGTCAAATCAAAGCAATCAAAGTATAAGTAAAATATCAAAAAACTAATAAGTTATTAGTAATAACGGTATATAATACTAAAACATTAATTGAAAAACAGTAAAAATCTAGAATTTCAATAATACTGATAATAATTAACAAATAAATCAAAATGTTTGTAAAATTTAAACAAAAAACAAAAATGAAGAGAAAATTTAGATAAAACTTACGTTCATTTTATAAGAATATTATTTATGTTGAGATTAAAAATCATATGAAATATGACTTGAAATTATGAGAAGTATTGTAAATAACTAATGAATGTCACATAAAGTAATTAAAGCACGTAATAATGAATGCATTGGAAAATCAATGCATTAATCATTATATGAAGAGATGGTGAGGAAAATGACAAATACAAGTCAATCAATAAATTGCATTTAAAACCTAATTTGTTGTCAAAATAGATTTCAAACGAAACTTTAAACTAAACGTCGAGTCATTCAATGGATGTGTACTTCACGACAACCGGAGTACTAATGAATAGCTAAACAAGTTATACACCGCAGAGAGAGACTGGATGTTAGGTTAGGTTAGGTTGTGATGCAATTGTTTGGCAATCAATTACATAAACACATGACTAATACAATACGGTATTAAAAACCACTTTTATTCATATTAAATGTTGACAATTAACGGTATGGTATGGTATACTGTATACTGAATTACAGTTTGTTTAAATACAGTTTCAAAAACAAATATATTTTTTTATCAATTCAATGAATATCTCAAATGTAACACAAATAAGATGTGAATCCGACTACAGTATTGGTTACATAAACTCGTGTCAATCGATGCACTCATACACGTAAGGCATACGAAAACTTACATACAATACCTTAATATCGATTTAACATTTCAATTGTGAAAATAATACACAACTTAATGATTAAACCATTAAATATTAAGATATCATTTATGTATCAGTTATGGATACCCAGAACTGTTTTCTAATCTATGGACACAAAACTGTATTGAAACTTAAACTAAATTAAAATCGGATTAAAAGCCTATAAAAAGTGATTCAATTGAACACTTTTGTCCATCAATTTCCTACTAATTTGTTCATTAAATTAACAAAATGCTAAACAAATTGTTATAATACTAGACAGCGTTTGTAAGCAATAGTGTTGTATTCATAATGAGTTAAATGTGCAAAATCTGGCACTCATTCAGAAATGAATAAAAAAGAGTACTTTTGCAACAAATCAATAGACAGTGCTTTCAATTAAAGCTAAATATAACCAAATTGTCAGTTCACTACCAGAATACCGGTGCTATTCATATACATATTACAGTTATAGTGATTATAGTGAACAAGTGGGACACCGATGACCGCATAATATGATACACTATAAGCCGGTTCACTAGCAATCAAATCAATCACTAATATGACGGTTAAGACAGGAACGACATGTTGTCGTATATTGAAAGCCGGCGCTCACTATAAGGGCACTAATTATGCATAAAATGGTTAACAAGTAATGAGACAAACAGTGGTAAGAGTGACAACACGTGTCGGAAGTGGTGGTGAGGCTTACCGTCGAGTGACTGTTGGAAGTGTTGTGATTGGAGTTATTGTTGAGACAATGGGTGGTGTTGTTGGTGTTGTTGTCGTTAGTGTTGGCTATAGTCTTGTGGCGTTTGTTGGGAGGACTCAGTGTTTCATCTGATGGTAAGCCACTCAACGAATGGGACATAATCTGTGGCCAAAAGGATCACCAATTAATGAGTGCTTCGGTGGTGGTGGTGATGGTTGTGGCGGTCGTACTGTTGCGAAGACTATCAATGGATGGATGTGCTCTTCGATCAGATGTCTTCACTGATGAAGTGGTGGTCAGTGTCTGTGTTTGCAATGAATGGCTATTAATGACAATCAATGGACACAACAATAGTGAATGTATTGACGAATAACTCGTTCGACACTCTATTGTGTCAATGCTTTCAATGCATTCAATGCAATGGCGTTTCAATGCATTCACCACAATGTGAACCAATGCACAGCCCATTCAATAGGCTTATTGGGGGGACGTTCACACAATTACCACACATTACTGTCAGCTATTATACACACATTCACTCCCCAACACTCGTACCATCACTTCAAATACTTCTAAATCCAATATAAAGGCATTCATTTACTTTAAAACAGTATTTATAAATTGTATAATAGGCTTTTATGCAGCATCATACCAATTTAAAAGTAATTAACTTTATTTTAAATATTATTAACTATATGTGGGTTAGACTGTAACCACTGTTGAGTACACAAATTGCTTCAATTTTGAAATTCTTTAAAATTTATGAATAGCTTACTTCCAATTCTTTACGCAAAAACTTCTCAAACTTTTGTCATTAATTTTTTAAATTATATGATTTATTTCCAAACAAAAATTTTTTAATTTTTCAATTGATTTGTATATGAATTGCACAATAAGTGACAAAATATTCAATACTATNGTTGTCCGAAAGTCACACCCTTTACTGCTATTACTATAATACTCTGTATAGTGTATAATATACTGATTTGTTTGTGTGTTTTGTTGGCACCGATAGCTCAGTCGGTAGCGAACGATGGGTCGAGCGATGAGTCGACGAATAACGACAACATTCCGATGGATGCGGAAGAGCTGCACAAACAGCAGCAGCAGAAAGAGCTCAACAAAAACGCCGCCAAAAATCAATTGTCAAAGAAGTCCAAGAATTACAAATCAAAAGCAAAGCGAAAGCGTTCTGTGATTGAGGAGGAGATCGAAGTGGACGAGAATGAAGACACCGATAACCCTCTCTATTGGTCGATAACCGACGTTCACGAGTACCTCAAGAAGAGCAACTGTTTTATGTTTGCGCCCACTCTTAGAGAACACGTATGTCTTGTGTCTTATCACACATTTTGTTGTTTGTCTCATACGACTAATCCTCTGTCTGTTGTGTCTTTTGGTGGTATAGGAAGTGGACGGCGCGGCTCTACTACTGCTCGACTACAACACTATAACGAGTCTATTGTATTCGGGATATACCCGACAGTATGGTATCGCCGACGCCTCCAAACTGTCCGCTTTAGTCGAGTCTCTTCGTCACAAATGGGCCCGTATTTCGAAACGCCTCAAGAATTGATCTGAACTCTAGACTAGAATTAAATGCCTGTCCTCTCACTTCATACACACAAACACTATATTATAATTTGTTTTGAAATGAATTTTCTTTAAGTTATAATCATTTATAAGATAATTAAATAGAAAATATTGGTTTGAAATAAATATCTAAATATATTATTCTTTTTGGAATAAATAAATGAGTTTATAATTAGTGGTAATAAACAGAATTACGATTATATTCTTCACATGATTTCTAGTGACATATTGTCCGCAGATTTATATATAATGAACACTGAATTTAATTTAACTCATACTGTAGTCCATTTGTTGTTTAATATTTAAAAGTTTTTGAAGTTTTTCACTCAATTTGAATACGTTTTTCACACCTATTATACTGTATTGTAATTCATAATAACTACACATCTTATTATCATAACTTATAAAACAGTGAATAACACGTTAAGTATATGTTTAGTTAACTTTTTAATTTTTTAAAAACAAACCTTTATTTAGTATATTAAATTTTTTAATTACTGTTTTCAAACTCTTCAAAAATGCGTAAAGAATTGGAAGTAAGACTAAAACTATTCATAAATTTTAAAGAATTTAAAAATTGAAGCAATTTATGTACTCAACAGTGGTTACAGTCTAACCCACATATAGTTAATTATATTTAAAATAAAGTTAATTACTTTTAAATTGGTATGATGCCGCATAAAAGCCTATTATACAATTTATGAATACTGTTTTCAAGTAAATTAATGCCTTTATATTGGATTTAGAAGTATTTGAAGTGATAGTACAAGTGTTGGGGAGTGAATGTGTGTATAATAGCTGAGAGTAATGTGTGGTAATTGTGTGTCGCCCCCCAATAAGCCTATTGAATGGGCTGTGCATTAGTTGACATAGTGGTGAATGCATTTGCACGCCATTGCATTGAATGCATTGAAAGCATTGACACAATAGAGTGTCCAACGAGTTATTCGTCAATACATTCACTATTGTTGTGTCCATTCATTGCCATTAATAGCCATTCATTGCAAACACTGCAGACACTGACCACTACTTCATCAGTGAAGACATCTGATCGAAGAGCACATCCACCCATTGATAGTCTTCGCAACAGTACGACCGCCACAACCATCACCACCACCACCGAAGCACTCATTAATTGGTGATCCTTTTGGCCACAGATTATGTCCCATTCGTTGAGTGGCTTACCATCAGATGA